AAAGTAAAATTTCTGTAAAGTATTTCGTCTCTCCTCTTCTCTCTTAAAAATGACATAATGATATGTATTTATAGTCTCCAATACTCTATGGGGTCTAGGGTTCCGGAATTGAGACTGGGAAAATGATACGGGCTTCAGAAATGGACCTTCAAACTCGGAGTTAGCTGGCCGTGGTCGGGAAATGCGTGACCGCGGGGAATGGATGACTCGCCGCGGTCGGGATGCTTGTGGCCACGGGAAATAGGCTGTTGGCCTCGGGTGGAAACGCTTGCCGGCTGGTTTACGGGACATCTTGCTCTTCGCGTATCTTTTGATTGAACCGTTGGATTGCCAAGCTGTAAAGTGTGCTGGAAAGCTGATACTTCCATCTTTGAGATCTCCAAATTTGAGCTGGATCAGACGGTGAGAAGGCCTTCAATCGGGGGTGAACTTCTGACAGTTTGACTCTGAGCTGAAAATCTGATCTTCTATCCATTTTGTTAAGCTTTTCCTTAAGTTTCCTGAAAAGAGTCTTGAAACTACAAATACTAGGAAAATGTAATAAAAGTACTTGAAAGCAATTAAAAACATAGAAAAAGTATTTCAAAGTGATCCATAAAAGTGGTCAAAATACGGTGTTATCAGAATCTAGTGTGATTCCTCGGGGTGGAGCACACCGAGGTCCATGGTTTCCAAACCCAGAAAAGTCACACCTCGGCCAAAGACCTCGACATGAATCACACCGAGGGTTTCCTACACTTGGTGCGGGAACAAGAGTTTTTAAAAATAAGGGTCAAAGGTCTTGGGTCAAAGTCAAGGTCTGGAGTCTTTGGGGATGTTGACCAGTCAACACAGATCTAATACCCATCAGTCCTCATCCCCTTCCAAGGCTTCAGTTTCAGCCATAAACCCGAGTTTGTTCTCTCTTTTCCTTCTTGCACTTAGAAAGAACATAACTCTCTCGTTTCTCACTCAGATTAAGTGATTCCAAGTGCATTGAGCTCGTGCTGAAGTTTTCTTTCCTGAATTCTCATTGAATTTAGCTTGAAACCTGCGTATCCCAAGGTATTATGTCGGAAAGAACTCACCTTTTTCCATCTTGGGAACAATTTTAGAAATTCTAGCAGGATAGACAACACATGAAAAACTAGTTCTTGCATTGAAATTCACTTGTTCTTGAGTTTTTAAAAATTCTTGAGAAATTGCACCTTAAAATCGATTTTAATGGCAAGATGGTTTCTTGGTTGAGTTGATTGCTTTAGATTGTGTTTAGCATTGTTAAAACTCATTTCTTGATCATTCTTAGCTTTAGAAATTATTGTGCCATGGATTTTTGAGAGAACTCTGTTCTTGAAATTTGTCATGACATGTTTTTGGTGATTTTTTTCTTGGTGCTCATTCTCTGTTTGAGCGGTTTCTTGCAGAATGACAGAAAGAACAGCTGCCTTAGCCCAAAAGAAGGAGACCCAGCAGAAGAAGAACAAGGGTAAAGCTGTGGTTTCAGCAAAGTCTGATGGAACAAGAAAGAATACTAAAAAGGTCACGAAGAAAAGTGATGGGGAACCAGCTGCTAAGAGAGCCAAGAACACTGAACTTTCTCTTGTGGTTGTACCTAATCCAAAACGCAAGGGGAAGCAAGTAGCTGTGGTTTCTGATGATCAGCGCACAGAGAGTGAAGCTGAGAAGGAGCTTGCACTTGAGCCGGTCAATAGGAATGATGAACCGGCCAAAAAGAAAGAGAAGAAAGCTGAGAAAGAGGAAGAGAATGAGATCACAGTTAAGGAGTACAAGAAACAGTTTGATAGAGCAAGTCGGTTCCCTGATGAGGTAGTGATGAAGAAGATAGGTATCTACGAGGATGTGAAGCAGATCTTCAAGAACTTGGGTATGGAAGCCTTCTTTGAAATGAAAGAGATAGCTCATGACAAGATCACTCAGCAGTTTTTTTCTTCTTTGGAAGTCTACAAGTATGAGTCTACAACTATACAAAGAGAGAAATGGCTGTGGCTACATTGAGCTTGTGGTTGATGGGGTGAAGTATGAAGTTGGTTACAGGGAAATGGATGAGATTTTTTGGGTTTACACAAGGTCAGGTGAAGGTGTCGAAGAAAAGTTCAAATATCCAAAAAGGGAGATCAAGGCTCTTTGGGATACCATTGCCTTTGGGGCCTATTGTGGTGGAAAAAGCAAGAAAAGCTGGATCTGAATCCAGCTAGAAGATATGCTGTTCAATTCTTAGCAAGTATGTTTTTCACCACCTATAACCCTGGAGTTGTTCATTCAAGTGAGATTGAGCTGTTGGGACTTGGACTTAAGCCTTTCATCAGTCACACAAAACAAAGAAGATTACTATGGACCTTATCAAGTGCCAAATCTCAGTGCATTCATGGGAATTCAGATGCTGGCCTACAAAGGGAATGCTTGGTGTGATAGAAGAAAGAGAGGTGCTAGGAGTTTGCAAAATAGCTGGCTGGTAACAAAGATTTTGAAAGCTAGAGGGTTTGAATTCCCCGAGTCAAGAGCAAAGCCTGGTAGTCTTAATGAAGCTTACTTGCTCAAGACTGGTTTCTTTGAATGCAAGGTTGGAGATAGCTTATGCTACAACTTAAAGCTTCTTGTGGAGGAGTGTTCAAGTCCTTCTACCAAACCAGCCTATCACTTCACTACAAGAGAAGTGTAATGTCTATTTCATTCTCCTTAAGGATCAGCTGTACAACCCTGAGATTCATCCGCCACTTGAGAAATGCAAGACTCATGAAAAGGCTGGTCCAAGTAACCTCCATGAAGAGCCTCCCACAGCTGTTTCTGATGGTGA